GTAGGTCTCTGTTAATAAAAGGGTGTGCCTCTATGAATTTATTTATTTTTTAGACTAAATGATACCTTATAAAGTATTTTGGTAGTTTTAAGGATCATTTTGCTAAATATGTTCTCATCCTGAATGAGTTTCAATAATAATCTGTAGAAAAAACTTTATCAAAATCAACTAAATAAATTATCAATTTGCACTTAGAAGATTTATTTAAGGATTCTCATGTCTTCAGAAAAATGTAAACACTTTTGAAAGAATTATTTTGTTGTTAAGATGCCTTTGGTTTTCCCTGTTTTTTTTGTTTGTTTGTTTTTTTCTTTCTTTGCTTCAAAGGCAGAGCTTTGATATGCGAATTCCCTTAAGTTTTAATTCATAAATTGAATCTAAACTGATGCCTTAGTTAGTAACAAATGTTTGAACTAGCCTATTCATTAGCTTTTTATTAATATCTTAATTTTATTTTTTATTTTCTTATTTAATATTTATAATCGATAGAATTTTAAAGACATGCATGTCTTCTCAATTTGAGCAGCAGGGACCAGAGTGGCCACAGAAATATTCATCTGGTTTTCAACTAAAGCTCTGTTAAAGCCATTCACTTTAATGTATTTTGTTGGGATTTTAGTGAACACAAATGGATGCATGATTATGAAAATGGATAAATGATTTTTTTTTAAGTATTTTACAAAACAAATTGTGAAATACAAGTACATTTAGATGCCCCTTCTTCAACTCTTTGAACAAATACCTTTTACTGTATTTAAAACAAGACTGCAGTGGTAGTCTTAATTCTATTCAGGCCTATTCTCTTCGTGGAAGATAAACCTCCCTCTAAGTTTCAAATAATTTATAGCCTTTAGCCTTTAAAATTTCAAAATACAAAATATGTAAATATAATTAGCAGCTGTATTTATAGATATTGAATAATGGATACTGAATTAGAGAAGTTGGGAATCTTTTACTAATCAAGGTTATTCTGAAGGGAAGTTGCTGTCTTGCTTTAGATTTAGGTATTTAGTCTTAAGGGAGGTGAATACGAAAGCACAAATATATATAAAATGTGTGCCTTCTAAAAACTATGCACTGCAATGGCCTGCTCTCTTATATAAAGTTCCAGTAAAACCAATTGAAATCTATAGCTTTAACTTAACACAATTTGGCAAAGTTCAAATGGAGCTCTCCTTGGTGCTGAAAGGTTTAAGGATTCCAGTGTCAGTTTTTTGAGTCGTGAGGACTCGTCTCCATAAAGAAAGAGGATGCAAGTTGTTTATTATTTTTTTTCCCACCACTACGTCACTGGGTGACGACCAATGGGACGGCTCGGTGAACATCCAAAATGTCAAAAGGATGACGTTGATGCTGGCGTAAGGCTGCAGTTTGAAGTCTCCTACTAAACGAATGCAGTGGGAATGGTCGAGGAAGACACTCTGCCGAGTAGACAGACAGTGCGCACTGTTGACCTCCCCACAGTGTTTGCCAGAACTCAGGAACTGAAATAAGAACTTCACAAGAAGATTTCTCCTTCTTTACTTCTCTTTTCAGACTGGTTCCAAACCCAAAGAGTATTCTTAATCGCAGGACAAGAGAGGTAACACTTGTTTTGTTCTTTTTTGTTGAATTATGTTCTGTTTCTTTTTACATTCTTGTGCATTGCTAAGACCAATTTCTCCTCCTCAGATCAGGCTTCATTTAAAAATGAAATCTTGCTCACACCAAGAAAGTTTATCTCCATCCATAAACTTGTCTGTTGTTTAGAAGCACTGAGCTTTTTTTTTTCAGTCTAAGTTTTCCCTTGCCTTCCCTTGTTTCCTTTTCTTTTTTTAGAGGACACAGCATGCTGTCATCTTTGAAGACCCTGCTGCTGCTCTCCGTCCTGTGTGCACCGACTTCCAGCCTGTGCTTGCGCCTTTACCAGAGCCGACCCGACCTTCTCTGCAACGATCACATGGCTCTGGAGGCTCGAAGTGAGGAGAGCGAACCAGGCTACTCCCCCGTGGATGCCTGGGCTTCCCTCCTGCAGTCCGCGGACTACCTCTCCTCCTCCTCGGTCGAGTCAAGTCGGGAAAAAAGGACTTCAACTCCAACAAACTACCGCTTCATGAGCCGGACGAAGCTCAGAGGGCAGATGCTCCGCAACAACATCAAAGGTGACCGGAGAAGCAGACTGACTCTGTCTCTGGACGTCCCGACAAACATCATGAACGTCCTCTTTGACGTCGCCAAAGCCAAGAACCTGCGCGCAAAAGCGGCTGAGAACGCGCGGCTCCTGGCGCAGATCGGGCGAAGGAAATAAGAAAACATGTGGAAAAAAACAAAACAAAACAAAAAAAAACTCTGATTTAGCACAGAGCAGTTAGTAAATGTATTGAATAAATGTTATTTGCTCAGACACAACAAAATGTTCCACAAGGGAAAACATCCACTCTAACAAAGGGAAACCATGTTATAACTGCGGTGATCTCATACTGTATGTGAGTTGGCATTGTCCTTGTTCAAATCAAAGCACAGCAAGAAATCTGCCTGATGTTTAGCATAAATCGAAAAAATATATATTTAATTCAAAATACATTTTTAAATAACCCAAAATTTTGTTTGATGTGCAAATTAAGTAAAAAAAAGTGTTGGTTTGTTTGATATGATAAAGATGTTTCATTGGCTTGAAGTATATTATATTTTACAAATGCATAGGTTCCTAATCTTGAAGAAGTGTGAAGCACTGTTTTTATAGTGCTTTATTAATAAAGTCAGATGATATGCGTGATTCCTGTCCTAAATCCAAACAACATAGAACTCTCTAATTTTCATTTGCTGAAGATAAAAAGTAATTAATACGTACGTTAGGAAATGTTGAACTGTGGAAGATTTGGTCATAATTGAAATAATTTGCCTTTTTTCTTCAAGGATTTATTTTTATCTAATTACAGGAATCAGTTAACTATGGAAGAACCCTTCATTGGAAAACAACTCACTGGCAATAAAATACTGTACAAATTCACCTGCAAAGATCATGAATACAAATGCAAATGCATGTGAATGTATGCTGTCATCAGATGTCTCTTATTTTTATACTTTCAAATAAAGGATTATTTTTCCTGAAATAAAGCAGATGTAACTATAATAAACTGCCTCATTCCATGTAATACTGAGCAACAGAATGTGTAATAATCTGTCAATTCAAAACATGACTGTTGTGTTTAATAAGTACTTTAAAATTTAGCTTATGCAACCCTTCAAGAAAAATAGGATATATAGAGGATAGATGGATACTCTTAATGTAGTACTTTCTTGTGAAGAGCCTAAATCGAGAGCTGAATTCTTGGCCTAAAGGGTCACTGGGAGGGGCAAATATTCAGCATTACTGTCATTCATAAATACTGAATAAAAGTATTAATTATTTATTCCTAAAATTAATACTTGAGGATAAATCTGCATTCTGTATTTGAAAATGACAGTGATAAACACATATTAATAGTATTAAATACAGTCCGCATTACTAATGACGTCAAATATCTTGACCACCATGTGGCCCTAAAACTTACTTTAGTTTACACCTCACGTAGTTAAATTGCCTTTCACTACTGGTGAAGATTCTTAGTCTAAAAATAATAATTAAAAAAATGCATAAAAACATGAAAATAAAAAACAACAACCAAAATATTTTTGCAAATGTTTTCAAATTGTATTTTGTTTAAAGTAAACCTCTTAGTTTTATTTACATAAAATGGAATCACTGAGTCAGGGGGTTTACCATTAGGCAATAATAGGCTGTTGCCTAGGGCCACAAGTTCCTAGGGGCTCCATAAAACTCTGTTTACATGTATGGTTAATACAACTATTCCTTATTTGTGCACATTAATTGTGTTTTTGAAAAAAATCCTTTGGCTAAAATGCTATCAGAATGCTTATAATATTAAGTGTGTCTCAACTCCCCCTTCAGTGTCCACCATATTGGTCCAGTCCATTTGCTGCACATGTTCAGAAAGGTCCAAACAGAAAGTAGCAAACAATTTGCATTGCCAACTTAGCGCTTTAGTTGCTATATTAGGGACTTATCGGATCCTTCTAGCACTTTGATTTAAAAAAAAAAAGCGCCAAGCGCCCAATCTAGCGACTTTTGGAGACTTTAGCGACAACATCTAAAAGCAGCGAACTCTGCTCTCCAGAGCAAGTAGATTGGTAACCCCGCCTCCTGCTATCCTCTATCTTTTCTGCTGTCATGATTCATGCAGCTATTATTTCATCCAAACGACGAGCTTCTTGTCTACAGTGAAAAGAAGGACTGTGTTATTTACTTTTGCCATGGCCTTTTTGGAAACACAGGAAGGAGCAATCAGCTAAATGGACTTAGAAAAAATCTTTCATTCCTTTTGAGACAGCATGAAAAGTCAGCTCAGTACAAAACAGAGAGGAAAAGAACAAGAAAAGGGACAAGAAGAGAGGAACAAAACCTAAAACAAATAACGGATGTCTACTCTATTAATATTTCTCTATCTGTATAATGGGTCTGTTTTATGTGTTGTCTTCTCAATTCAGAGGGTCCCCTTCTTGATTTTGCCTAGGGCCCAAAATTCCTAAATCCGCCCCTGCAATGAGTTGAAACCGAGTTGATTTAAACAGAGGCTCTACTCAGCTCATAAGAAATGTCGACATCTGGTGGTCATTTTGGGTAACTTTCCCCAAGATCTGGGAAAATGAACAATTTCCAAATAAAAACGCTGATTTACAAGATTTTTGTTTGTTTTTATAGGACTAAAATGTAGATCCAAAATTGACTAACAATAAATATGAATTTAGACTTCTATTACAGCTTTAAAATATTGTGCCGTCATTGTTTAAAAGAATATAATTTCTCAACAGTGCCTCCTTTTGGTCAGAAATAAAATCATGAATTGCCCTACGTCATTTCCGTCGACGTGGACGCCATCTACAGGAAATCAGTTTTCATTTTGGCTACGTGGAAGTAGCTCCCGGTACAGCCCAGACTGAGAGCGTCTGCTTGTCCTTCAACTGCATTCAGTCAAAATGATTAAAAAATTTGATAAGAAGGACGAAGAATCGGGTAAGGATTTGAATTGAATATTTTAAAGAATGGGATAGTTTTTGCATCTGAAATAGATAGCAAAAAATGCTACCATGTTAGCATTCTAGCTAAATTCAACAAGCCTTAACGTTAACAGTGTTTTGGCAATCGTATTTTCTGTTAAAACGATACCTTATGAGTTAAAACAAATTGTTCTGCAAACTTTAAGAGTTTAATTGTGACTGTGACAATAAATTCTTAATAATATATCACCCTGGCCTGTTTGGTGTTTACATATTGCATTAGCTATGCATGCTAGCGTTGTCAAATGGTTCTTTTCTGACAGATCTCAATGCCTGTTTGCTGCTTATTGCATTTAATATAAATGATATGAAACAACTAAAACTCTAACATCTGATTTCCTTATTGTCATCTGTCGTTGTTGGTAAATCACTTATAATTAGCAGGGCCAGATGCCTTTACTTTGAAGGCTGTTTTCCTTATATTGAAATACCTAATATATTTATTACCTAAATCGTTGTCTAAATCAATTAAGTTGAGTATTCGGTTGAGCTAAAACCAAATATATTAGCGTAATATGTTAGAATTGGTTATTGGGCCAATTTTGTTCTTGTTTTCTCTTTGTTTTTTTTGTTTGTTTGTTTGTTTGAAAGGGGTGTGTGGATTCGTAATTAGAACTGTACAGCACCTTAAAACCTTTAATTCTTGGGTTACTTATAATATCCAGTGTACACAGAAGCTAAGGAAAAAAATGCTTAACTTTAACTCTTTGTTGTTTTTGATTCTTAAGTTTGACCTTTGGTGAAAAAGCTACCTTTTCCATTGCCACAAATAATACAGTATAGTTTAGGGCTGAAACAATTAATTGTTATTAATCGATCGTTGAAATAATTGTCAACTAATTTAGTAATCTATTAATCATTAACTGGAGTGTCAAGACTCTAAAATATGCCTTTAGCTGAGAGAGCAACCCACTTAGAGCTGTAATTATATCAAAATTGTTGTTTTTTTTAAATATAGAAACATATTGCATTTAAGATTAAATAAATCTTTTTCTCCTGTCTATCCAGAACTCCTCAAGTGGAAAAGTTTTAGTTTCACCTCGTTTAATGTTGTAAAAATCCTCTTCAAGAAACCTTTGGCTATCTGATTATTAATGGAGTAATCGAAAACATAATCAAAAGATTAATCGATTTGTAAAATAACTGTTAGTTGGTGACCTGGTATAGTTAAGTATAATACATAGTGTTTTTTATTGATGAAGAGTGTTCCTAAAATAAGTATACATTTTAAAAATAAATTCAAGTATTTGTTCTTGTGGGTCAAGAAGGGAAAACCTGAGAAGTATCAATCTCAGCAATAATGTAATATTCCTATTTTCTTTGGTTTAGTTCAAGAAACCACTCGTATAAAATATTCATCTTTTAACATGTTTATTCGGTCTTATAGGAAGTGGATCAAATCCTTTCCAACACCTGGAGAAGAGTGCAGTCCTGCAAGAGGTAATGTGAGCTTAAGATTAAGTCATATTTAACTGAAAAGGCTGTAATGCTAAAGTAATGGTGGTTTTGATTTCTAGGCGCGTATCTTCAATGAGACCCCTATCAATCCAAGAAGATGCCTCCACATCCTCACCAAGATCATCTACCTTCTCAATCAGGTCAAAAATACAATCATGTTATCAGTCCTTTCGGTATCGTAATGTAATATCATAACTAACTCTGATGTTTTTTTTCTTGTAGGGAGAGCATTTTGGGACCACAGAAGCCACTGAGGCTTTCTTTGCAATGACAAGGCTGTTCCAGTCTAATGATGTACGATGTTACCTGTTTATTTAATTGTTATATGTTTTGATAACTGCTCACTTTGATGATCTAATCAAGCTTTATGCTCTTATTTAGCAAACCCTGAGGAGGATGTGCTACCTGACTATTAAAGAGATGGCAAACATCTCTGAGGATGTCATCATTGTCACCAGCAGGTTTGTGTCAATAAATTGTATGTAATTGCAGCTTTAACCTATTGGTTTTCATCTCACATCAGATGTTGCTCTCCTTTTTTTTATATACACATTCTTGGATGATTTTTGCCCACCCGAATACATTTTAATTGAAAAGCATTATGCAACTTTTTAGGGTTTGGATAGCCTGTTTGAAGTCATGCTAGGTCTAAGTTTGATTAAAGTATAAACTGTCAATCTACTTCTGAGCCACTTAAAAAGAACAGCAAATCAGTGAGCAAAAGCTACTTCTCAGTGCGGTCTGTGTTCTTTTTCTTTATTTTCTCAGCACATCTTTTTAGAAAATATAGATCACCTGATTTCATTGCCATAAAGTTAAAATTCTCTTGTGAATTTCAGTTCTGAACTGATTTACTTTATTTCTATCAGAAGATGTGGTTCATTGGTTTAATATTGTTCTTATTTGTCTCTTTTTTAATAGTCTAACTAAAGACATGACTGGTAAGGAGGATGTATACAGAGGTCCAGCCATTAGAGCCCTGTGCAGGATTACAGATGTGAGTGAAGTTTACTTTTTTTATTATCTTATTTTCATATCTCAATTTGTCTCTTACTGGAGAAAAATATCTTTTCTTACAGAGCTTTGTTTATTTGTTGTGTTCTGCTCACAGACCACCATGCTGCAGGCCATTGAACGGTACATGAAGCAGGCTATTGTGGACAAAGTGCCCAGTGTGTCCAGTTCAGCTCTGGTCTCCTCTCTGGTAAAATGTCACAATTTCTGCAAATACACAACATTTTTTATGATTGGGTAATGCACTCATGCATTGCTCTTTGCTGTTGGATGACATCCTCTCTGCTTCAACTCCTCAGCACATGGTGAAGATGAGCTACGATGTGGTGAAGCGCTGGGTGAATGAAGCCCAGGAGGCTGCTTC